GGGGAGGCAGTTAACAGAAGACCATGGACATTCTCAAGCTCCTCTCTCTAGCACAAGTATGGAGAGGTTTTTAGAAAGATTTTGCAATCAAGAAACTCTTGAGATGATAACAGATATAATGACATTTCATTTTTATGTGTAATAATAAAGAATATATTAAATACCAGGCTTTATTATTTGATTGAAAAAGAAGAAATGTTTCTTGTCGTGTCTGGCATAGGATTGACTAAGGAAATTGTTTGGTTACTTAACATATAAAAGTATAGGATGTAGGCATTTTGTGAATGTCAATTAAGCAAAACAAAATGTTCAGGCTTTTTTTTTTTTTTTTTTTGGCAATTCAAGTTTTTTGAAGAAGATGCAGATAGCTTCTTTACACTTTATTCTTTTATGGGGTGGGGGGTGGGGGCAGGATGAGTCACACAAATACCAAAGACTGCAAAGCACTGGCTTCTTGGGTGATGGAGCCATGTTAGTTACAGTCACTGAGTATTAACTCCTCCTCACTTTCCAAAACAGTTTTAAAGAATGTTACAGTGGAGTGATACTCCATGGGGTTATTTGCAGGGACTGTACTCCTAATATTCTTTGTTTTTTTTAAAGGGTTGACACTGAAGAATGGATTGCCACTATTGAAGCATTACTTTCAAAAAGTTTTGATGCTTGTCAGTGGCTAGTTGAATATTTTATTGGTTCTGAAGGACGAGAATTGATAAAGTAAGTGTCAAGATTTTTAATTAAAAGAAATTTGTGTTTCTTCCAGTGATTGGGAGCTGACATTTCTTGTAACTCTTTTTATTTCAACTTGAAATTATATTTCTGATTGGAATCAATTTTAAACTTTCTTCACCAATGAAGCAGTGAGGAAAAAATCATTCTTTCCAAACCATCTCTGTTAGACTAGACTCAGGGTATTCAAGGAGAATGCAAGGAGAGCATGTGTGCAGATGGCCAAGTGCTCACAGGTAGCCACATCCTAAAACCCAAAATACAAGGCCCTTTCTTCAGGGGCCCACAGTCTGGTGCACAGGGGGTCCCAAGGGTGCTATCTTGGCTCCAAGCTTTAACTATTATCTCATTCTGAGAAATTGAAGGGGTTCCAGGAGAGCTGCTCCTGAATGAACAGAATTCATAAAATTTTAGATTATTTGCTCAATGTTCAATTTATATTTATACAGATACTCATTTTGGGAGAAGAGAGGAAGAGGAAGGAAGGGCTTCACTTTTCCGTGTTCAGGGGTCTTGCTTTCCTGTTTGGCCTTCCTCCTCCACAGTGGCCACGAGCTGTACCAAAGCTCTCAGAAGACCTGAACTAACATCTTGGAGTAATTTTGTTTCTTGGATTGCAAGTGGGACTCATGTTGGGAAGGTTGACTTACAGAGTTCTGTTTTGCTTTTTTACACCACACTTCTATATTTTAGGATATTCTTGCTGGAGTGCAATGTGAGAGAAGTGCGAGTCGCTGTGGCCACCATTCTGGAGAAAACCCTGGACAGTGCCTTGTTTTATCAGGACAAGGTCAGCCTCATGTTTAAATTTCTATTTATACATTCTGTTTTTACCAAAAGTATAAAATGGCCATAATAAGAAAGAGAACCTAGGATTGCAAGCTGGTAATTTCTCCACATAAAATGTACCCTCTGTGAACTGACTTTGTGATGAATGCCAAGTAGAAGGCATTCTGACTTTTCCTCCTCTTACCCCAAAAACCAAGGTAGGCCAAGAACTGAGGTCTGCGTTGGTCTGCTTCAGAATTTTCTCTCTAGAACACTCTCCTTTCAAAGTCTTCTCTCAATAGTTTGTATTTGATCTCTGCACTGAGGCTAACCTGAGTCTAGAGGCTCTCGTCTAGATCCTTAGACATTTTGAGCCACCCCTGGCTTTGTCTCTTTCCTCATGAGCTATTTTTATGACCTAAACCTACAATTGGCAACCAAACCAAATACTGCCATTCGTTCAGGGTCATTGGCCAAAATAGTTCCTTCATTGGTTTTCATTATTCTCTAATCTGTTTTGTTCCTCTGAATTTCTTCTTTTTCTAACCCAATTTTCTGTAACATATTTTCTGGTTCAAAATTCTACACATGCCAAAACAAGCCAGGGTATTTATTACCATCCTCAATCCCCAAAGATTTTAATACCCAGAGAAATAAATGACATATGTTGTAAGTCTGATTATTCAGTCTGTTAAGTGCTAGCAAATACAGCAGTTACTTCCCAAGTTTGCTGTTTCAAACAGCTGACACTACATGGAAAACTTTGAAAAATGTTATTTTCAAAACTAATTGGCTCCTTAAACATTGGCTGGAGGCAGTGTGTCTCAGTGAACTAAATGCAGATTCTAAAAATTGCTGCTTCAAATACAGTTGTTAACTTTGTGATGCAACCTTGAGCATGTTCTGTAAGGGAGATGTTTAATCCAGATACAGTGCCTGACACCCAAGCACTTGGTTCCTTCAACATTGCCTGACCCAGGGAGCTCTGCTCAGTCCAGAATGAACAAAGAGGTCGAATATGCCCCTTAGGAAGGGCCCAGAAGACTGTCTCTCAATTCAGGATTTATAAGGAAGATGAGGTTTACTCTAAGGCATTGGTTTTCAATCAGCTTAAACAGCAGAACTATTTTCCAAACAAAACCTTACCTGAGTGCAGAACATATAAACTAGGTCATTGGGAGTTGCTTAGGACAGTTTGGAGACCATTGCTCTGAAATACTCTGTGGAAGTTGTGTAAGACATTTAGCATGAGGACCTTCTCATTCTCCTTCCTCCCGTGCACCAACCTAGACAAAAGATAACGATAGAGTTAGTGCAGTCTCCCTACAGATGGGGTCAGGCCACACCATCACCCCAGTGACCTCTGAAGGCAGGACTGCAGGTGGTAGAAAGGGAAGGAGTGGTGGTGCAGGGTGAAAACATGGAAGCGTTTGCCTCAGTAAATTCTATTGAATATCCAGATCCAGCTGATGCATTTTATGTCAGTTTTTCCCTCATAATGGAAATGGTGCCTCTTGCCATCCACTCTGTATTGGAAAGTATTTTGAAAGTTAAGTGCTATGTAAATGCTAAATTTTATTGTACTTATACTGATGTGACAGGATGGTTGGGAGTATTTTAAAAGTCTCTGGACACCATCTTCAAGAAAATAAATCAACAGAAATAGTAAGAGTAAGCTTGGTCTTCATTCTCAGATCACAGATGAATTTCTAGGAACTTGTCCAAAAGCAGTTGGGTGGGAGGGAAAGAAGAAGCAATGTGATAACCAAAATGGTTTCTAAATAAATAAAATGTTTTTCAAAGCTTTCCATGAGGCGTCAGCGGGCTTTCAAGTAAGTTCCCAGTTGAGTGGATATTGCCGTTGTCATTCTGTCAGGCTGTGCTCTCCATCTGCTCCATCGGCTTGGTTTCTAGCCCCTATGCCTGTGTCTGTGTTTTTATTTCTTTGCATCTGTGATTATGTAAAGAAGTAGCATAGTGGAGGGAGGGACTCAGAAATAGGTTTCCTCTAAGCACCCCCACCCTTTTTCTAAGAGACAGAGAAATTGGATCTACAGAAAATGTGCCCATTAGGCAGTAGAATCATGCCCTTGACTCTGAAATATAGGAGACAAAACTAGGCGTTCCTTGAAGTATTTCTATAGTACCAATCTTCCCCTGGCAGGTAAAATTGAATCATTCTGTTTTTGCTCTCCAAAGCATAAATCCATCTGAATCTGAGACTGGATTGTATCAACCAGATTTTCCTTTTGTTCTTCTGGTGACTTACTTCAAATTAATCCTGTTGCAAATGTCTGTCTTACATGGTTTTTCTTTATGTAATCTCATCTTTCCTCTGACCAGTTAAAAAGCCTTCACCAGTTACTGGAGGTACTACTTGCTCTGTTGGATAAAGATGTCCCAGAAAATTGTAAAAACTGTGCTCAGTACTTTTTCCTGTTCAACACTTTTGTACAAAAGGTAAATGGTTTTTTTCTAATATATTTTCATAACACAGAAAATTTATAGTCTAAAGGAATTTTATACATGGAAAAATATAGACTGGTCAATATTGAATTTATATGATACGGTCTTATGGCTGTTTATTCTTTAAAATCTTAATTCAGGGATTATGTTACTTGCAGGAAGTTGGATACAGGTAAGTGTACACTCATTGACAGCAAACGTCTGCATTAAAACTAGTATCTAATTATGTGTTCTGTAGCCTTTGTGAAGCAATGTGAGGCTATTGGAACTCAAAAGAGTTTTTTTAATTAGGCCGAAACCGGTTTGGCTCGGTGGATAGAGCATCGGCCTGCGGACTGGAGGGTCCCAGGTTCGATTCCGGTCAAGGGCATGTACCTGGGTTGCGGGCACATCCCCAGTGGGAGATGTGCAGGAGGCAGCTGGTTGATGTTTCTCTCTCATCGATGTTTCTAACTCTCTATCTCTCTCCCTCTCTGTAAAAAATCAATAAAATATATATTTTTTTTAAAAAAGAGTTTTTTTAATTAGGTTTTTAACAAATATTTTTATATGTAAACTAGAGGCCTGATGCACGAAATTGGTGCAGGAGCAGGCCTTCCTTCCCCCCGCTGCCGGCACCGGCTTCCCTCTGACACCTAGGACCCGGGCTTCCCTCCTGCCACAGGCAGGCACCCGGACCCGGGCTTCCCTCTCAGCCCCAGCTTCGTCCAGAAGGACGTCTGGTCTAATTAGCATATTATGCTTTTATTATTATAGATAATTATAGATTATAGCATTTTAAAACTTACTCCTTAAAACTTCTCATTTAACTGTTTTTAAAACTGATTTTTGTCTGGATAGGAATATAATTTGTCGTTCTCAATATCTTGTGACAGCAAGGTATTAGGGCTGGAGACCTCCTCCTGCGGCATTCAGCTCTGCGACACATGATCAGCTTTCTCCTGGGGGCCAGTCGCCAGAACAATCAGGTAATGCTGCTTGCCAGCCCCCTCGGTAGCCATGGTTTTGTAGTCACTTTACTTCTCTGTGTAGGTGATAAATATTTTTAATCTCGTAAGAGTCCAGGTACTAATACTATATCGACTTTAAAATTCTTTATAGTTCAATTATTTTTGCAGCTTTTCTCAGAATTCCCTAATAATAACAACCCATGGAAATGACTAACTAGAGTATCAATTAAAATGTGAAGTATTATAGCAGCAAAGATGGGTCCTGATGGGGGGATTCAAAACCCTGCGAGTCTAGTGCTGCCAGCAAGGCTGTTCGGGTGGCAGTCACTTCCGGAATGCTGATAACAAGGCCAGAGTTCAACTGTGAAATTGTACTGTTATACACTGTTATATCCTGC